CAACCAATAGATGCTATATACAGAACACCTTCAGAAAGTCTAGAAATGTGTCATCGTACTCGTATAAAAAATCTCTTTCAACTTCTCTATAAACAGCACCTACAGTTGCTTCATGAAGAACACCATCACCATAAAACCTTAAAAAATCCCAACAGTCCGTCTATAAAGACTCACTTCAGTTAGTGTAAAAACTCCTTGCGTATCTTCAGCTCGTCTATAAAGATTCACTTTAGATGGTGTATAGTTTAGGTTTGGTGTCACTACTGTGGCTGCAGCACTCTGAGACCATCAGAGAGAGATGAGAAGCTTACAAGGTAGTGTGAGAAGGTAAGTATGAGATAGTATCGATGGCTTAGAGATCGGATCGGAAGATATATTACGTGTCAAGGTGGCACTTTCCCAACCACTTTAGGTTTCTAATGATGCTGTAGATTAGAGCAGGTTCCGTTGTTGAGATAAGTAAACTAAGACTCGTTGGAAAATGAGCACCCACGGGAGATGCTCCTCGTCAACTAGAGTCTACAGTAATCAGTAGCATCATGGTCCCATTTACTTGCAAAGGCCTTGATATTGCAATGACAAGTAATAATTACTCTTATTTCAGCTTTGCTCAAGTTCAACAGTGTGTGTCCTTTTGGTAGACAGATACGGCCAAATAGATCTTGACACATTGCACCTAGGTTCGTTGTGCCAGAGTTCATTGGCTCTTTCGTCGAAGAACGCCTCAAAGCTCCGATATGACATATGGGTGGTTTGATTGAGCCATCAATTGCTAGATCTGTACATTAAGATTCTTGTCTATCTAATTCGTCTGCTCTTTCATTGTCACGGTGTCCTGGTACCCAACACAGACGATAGCTGCAAGTAATTGCTTTCAGAGCTGCTAGTGGGGTGATCCTCGTTGCTCTTCTTATTAGATTCGAGGCGGCTCTTTGTACCTCAGATCGTATATAAAGACTTATCTCCGTTTGTCTGTAAGGGCCCTTGCCGTCTATAAATACCCATTTCAGTTTGTCTATAAAGACTTACATCAACAGATCTCCCTTCAGCTCGAGTATAAAGACTCTTTGCATTAGTCCGTCTATAAACACTCCCTTCATTCTCGTCTTTAACGACTCCCTTCAGTTCGTCATAAATACCCCATTCAATTCGTCTACAAAGACTTGCATCAGATCGTCTATAAAGATTCCCTTCATATCGATTTATAAAGATATACAACAACAGGTCTATAAAGACTGCCATTAGTTCATCTATGAAGACTCCTTGTTTCAGTTCGTTTATTAAGATTCCTTTCATCAGGCCGTCTATAAGACTCCCTGCAGTTCGTCATAAACAACTTCTCATTTAGCTCGCCTATAAAAACTCCTTTTATTAGCTCATCTATAAATACCCCCTTCTGAGGGTGTTATCCAGGCACTTCTTATTTATACATTAAATAGTCACTGAATATTTGACTTGATCCGAATTTTGTTTGTGTGCTATTGAGACCGGCAGACCAAGTTGCACCAAGAGACACACTCGGCTTGTAATCTCCACTGACTTAAAAATAAAATTTAATTTTTATAAAATTACAAAAACTCTAAAACAGCTAAAACAACAACTTACCTTAAAAAATTCTCAAGTTGTCACTGGTTCCAGTGCTTTCAATATCCAAAGAACACCACAATACTACTTTGGATTACAAGTGTTTTGCTTCAGAACAGGCGGCGCACCCACTATAAACTCAATAATTGGTTTCCGATGTGTGTAACTTGTGTTTATGTTGTAAATATTAAAATTGAGTTTCCGTTTCTTAATAAAAAAACAATTCAATCTTTTTCTGTAACGATTAAAATGTTTTATACACTTTACCGAAAAAAACAACAACAAACCAACAAGAGAGGCTGTTGTGTTTACGATGCTTCTTCAATGCGTTGTGTGATGCATGGGGAACATATGTTTGTGTGTATGTATATATGGCAAATCAACATAGGTGCCCAAAATTGAAATGCGTTAGTATGTGTGAGAGAAAACAGAACAGTACTGAACAAAATTGTGTGTACATTTTTGTGGTCGGAAAAAATTATCGATGAATTTAATTTTTGTTATTATATAGATTAAAAGCATTAATAAAAATGTTTTTATATGAATTACAAATTGTATATGTTACAAAAATCAAATAAAGTAGCATATACTGAGATAATAGTAATATTATCAAATATTTAATTCTTGATATAATTAAATATTTGATAATGTGATGTTCTATTGTTTTTAAAAGTTTTAAAACATACAAAACATTGCGCCTTCCCAAACGCATTTTGAATAATAAAATAAAAATATACTGAAATACTTTTATCCCTAAGTGTGATTTCGTTGATTTTCAAGTTGTGTGGACACGACGTCGTGCGCGCACCCCAGCATGTGTTCATTCGTTGGCTGTCAAACAAGCTACTTTAAAGTATACTGATGGGCACCTATGCAAATCAATCAACAAATGCGGTTATTTGTTATTGTTTTACTCTTTCTTCTCTCACTCTCTGCATCTCATCGTGTTGTTGTTGCTCTATTTTGTTGCTCTTTTTCTTGTAGAGAGGGGGAAGATATAAATAACACACCAGCAAATGTATGTTTTCTGTTTTCTTGTTGCTATTGCAATTGTGTTGTTGGATTTATATTTTCCTTGTTGTTGTTGTTTTTCAATAAATATTTGAATGGCAATAAATAAGAAAATTTTTGATTTTATTTCACTTCGAATTTTTATGCAATAACTTTTGGCATTTTAATCGGCGGCATCTATTATCATTATATGATGTAGGACACTGAGGGAGTGGACATTGGAAGCAAATCTAGAAGAATTCCGTTCTTGAACGTAATGGCTTTGGATGAGTAATTATTTTGCTGCTCGATGGCTGACTGGCTCTATAGATATATGTATGTACGGATAACTTTTCGGCATTTGATTTAGGATTTTGTTTTCATTTCACCACCGCGACGAACTTCGTTTTGGAACACTTTCACGTTTCATCAATTCTCGGAGATTTCGATTTTTTTCTTAAATATCATTTAAAACTATTTTTAGATCGGTTTTTTTTTGTTTTAACAACAGAAGCAGAAAAAAATAAATCGTATAAAATGAAAAGAACTCAGCGAACTATCTGAAGTAGTCGAACCAACACTTTGACAGCAGCTGTCAATTGGCAGTGTTGCTAAAAAATCGGATAGGGTAGGGTAATTTTTTGTTTATGGTAGGTTAACGGGTAACAAGTAATCGGTTGGGGTTGGGGAATTTGTATGCGATGTGGCAAGCTAGGTGTAACGGAAATTGGAAATGAAGGTATTGTTTTGAAATTTTTGGGGGAAAACTAGTTCTTATATGAGATTATGACCGCATGTAGCCTAAAGTGGACTGATTACAATGTTAAAATTGTTTCCATGCGAAACTTCATCCTTTTGAAGATATAAACCTCTACCGAACCCTTTAGCTCGTCTATAAAGACTGCCTTCAGCCTTCAGACACCCTTCTGATCGACTATAAAGAAGCCCTTCAGCTCATCTATAGACTGCTTTCAGCTCGCCCAGATCGTATATGAAGATGCTCTTCGTCTCACCTATAAAAAACTGCCTTCAGCTAGCCTTATTCTTATTCTTTAAAAATCCACGATTTTTAAAGACTTCTAAAAAATCTACGCTTTTTGAAATCCTTTAAAAACTTCACGCCTTTTAAAGACTTCTAAAAAATCCATGCTTTTTGAAGACATTTAAAAACTCCACGCCTTTTGAAGTGCTTTAAAAAATCCACGCTTTTTGAGGACGCCCTTCAGCTCGTCTATAAAGAAGCCCTTCAGCCTTTTGGACGTTCAGCTCGTCTAAAAATCTTCACGCTTTTTAAGACCTTCAGCTCGTCTATAAAAACGCCCTTCAGCTTTTATAAAGACCTTTAAAAACTATAAGGACCTTTTCAAGTCGTCTATAAAAAATCCACGCCTTGTAAGGACCTTCAAAAATATTCTTTAAAAAATCCACGCCTTTTAAGGACCTTCAAAAAATATTCTTTAAGAAATCCACGTCTCGCAAAAACCTCCAAAAACTATTCTTTAAAAAATCCACGCCTTGAAAAGACCCAGAAAAACTATTCTTTAAAAAATCCACGCTGTGTAAAGACCCAGAAAAACTATTCTTTAAAAAATCCACGCCTTGTAAAGACCCAGAAAAACTATTGTTTAAAAAATCCACGCCTTGTAAAGACCCAGAAAAACTATTGTTTAAAAAATCCACGCCTTGTAAAGGCCCAGAAAAACTATTGTTTAAAAAATCCACGCCTTGTAAAGGCCCAGAAAAACTATTCTTTAAAAAATTCACGCCTTGTAAAGGCCCAGAAAAACTATTCTTTAAAAAAGCCACGCCTTGTAAAGACCCAGAAAAACTATTCTTTAAAAAATCCACGCCTTGTAAAGACCCAGAAAAACTATTCTTTAAAAAATCCACGCCTTGTAAAGACCCAGCAAAACTATTCTTTAAAAAATCCACGCCTTGTAAAGACCCAGCAAAACTATTCTTTAAAAAATCCACGCCTTGTAAAGGCTCAGAAAAACTATTCTTTAAAAAATTCACGGTTTGTAAAGACCCAGAAAAACTATTCTTTAAAAAATCCACGCCTTGTAAAGACCCAGAAAAACTATTCTTTAAAAAATCCACGCCTTGTAAAGACCCAGAAAAACTATTCTTTAAAAATCCGCGCCTTGTAAAGGCCCAGAAAAACTATTCTTTAAAAAATCCACGCCTTGTAAAGACCCAGAAAAACTATTCTTTAAAAAATTCACGCCTTGTAAAGACCTCCAGAAAACATTCTTTAAAAATTCCACACCTTGTAAAGACCTCCGAAAAATATTCTTAAACCCCCCTATCTGCCATAAAGACACAATTACTTTCTATAAATACCTATAAAATACGTGTTAATTTATTATAACTCTTTTTGTTTTTAAAAAAAAAAAATAACAATATAATTTAAAAAAATATCTACATTAAAACGCCTCATCCCCTTGGCCATTTAATCCCGCCTCCATTGGTATGCCAGCCTCTTTCATTTCCTTAATTATTTTCTTATTAATAATATTTTTAATATTGGCATTAACATCCGGCAGAAGACCACCACAGCGGGCAGCATGTTCAATACGCTGTGCAACATCAATTTCACGTCGTGATGAAATTAAATTCGTAACCGTGCAACGTTCCATATTGCCAACACGACCAATACGTCCACTACGATGTATATAATCGGAAATGTGTAGGGGAAAATCGAAGTTGATAACATTGCGGGCTCGGGTGGTATCTAAACCGCGACTACCGACATCAGTGGTGGAGAGTACATCACATTCGGCGTTTTGGAATTGTTCGAAACGTCCCATGCGTATCTTCATTAACATATCACCATTGAGATTTAGGCAATTTACCCCACTATTGTTGAGAAATATTGAAACGTAATCACAGGTGGGTGTTTTGTTGGAGAAAATAATGATTGGTCTTCGTAGCGCTAACTCTTTCTTCACCAAACTCAAGAGATGGGCTGGCCGATCGGCTTTGTTGACACGTAGGAATTTTTGTTCAACATGAGGCATTAGTTTGTGTAAGTTGGGACTGCTAACCTCTTCGATGGTTTCCACATCAATTACACGATGCAACAGTTCATTGATATTTGTGGGCATTGTGGCAGAGGCCAAAATCAATTGGGTACCAACTTCCGTATCTGTTTGAGAAAGGTTTTTGTGAAACTGGAAATAAAATCAAAAATGAAATATTACCTTTAAAAAACAGCGGCTTACACTTACCGGAAATCTTTTCAAAAAATGCACCAATTTATCGGAGAAACTATCATCCAGTAGAGTATCGGCTTCATCGAGCACTACATGACGCACATGATCCATACGATAGATACCAGTTGTAACCAATTTACTTAGGGCACCCACAGAAGCCACTACTATATCAACATCATCAAACTCCGGGTCCATCATTAGGCGTTTTGTATTGCCACCCAAAATTGTTTTTACCCGGACATCCATATCAGAACACAATTGCCTAACAACGTTGCCTATCTGCGAGGCCAATTCTCGTCCGGGCGTCAAAATTATACCCAATGGAGAATTCATTTTTCGTTGATTTACCGCGGATTGCTTGCGTTCCAAAATTCGCTGGACAATAGGTGTTAGATAGCACAGCGTTTTACCACATCCCGTCTCAGCAGCTATCAAGGTGTGATGATAGTCATAGATTTTTGGCCATCCCTGACATTGTATTGAAGTCAATTGTTTGATGTCCAGTTCCTGTTTTAAATTATCCAATAATTTATCGGTTAAAGGTAACTTCGTTGTGTTCAAGAATTCCAACAAGTCCTGCATCTCTTTCGCCTTTTCCTCTTCCGTCACTGTGGCATTTATCGTAAACCAATCACCTTTGGATTTCTTGTGTAACCATCCGGACGAAGCGAGAGGTATGGTTCCAAATTTACATTGTGCCTCTTGGGGGACATACAAATTGAAGTTCGGTCGTTTACATTGTATAATCGCAGGTCGGGTTTCTTTAGATTTGTTTTTCGGTTTTGTGCTGGTAGCGGCCTTTGTGGCTGCATATCTTTGAAGAGGTATCCTCGGCAGTGTCTTTGTGAATATTGTCAACATTTTTAATTGAAGAAGTCCTTATTTTTTATAATAAATATTGAATACGGGTGTATGCCGGTCAAAAAGCATGAAATTACTCGTGCTGCTTCTTCTTTAGAAAGAAGGACATAAAGGGGAAGATGGTGATAAAGACTAAGCATCAAAACAGAATAAACAATAAAAATCGATAGTTTTGTTATCGATACCGATGTTTGTTTAAAAAACAGCTGATTCGGTAATCAAGAAAAATATTGCCACATGCTCATGGTACAATTATAAAAGGTAACAGCAAATCCCAGCTGATTTGATTCCAACGTAATACTAGTGTCAATATGAATTTGACAAATTATATTTTTAAAAAATCACCCAACAGGAAAATTGGGAACGCATACAATTTGAAATTGTTCTTTATTAATGTGCTCCCGTATTCAATTTACTCAATCTGCCTGCTGGGAAAGTTTGAGGAAGCAAATCTTTCTTGAAGGAATAACTCGCTATTCCCAGCATTGTCATATGTGTTACACATATATATGGCAATGGCTCAATTAAAGGAAAGGTGTGGAAGCGATAGAAATATAAATTTGATCGATTTTTATTCATGTTTTTCAATTTTTATTTTGAGGATTCGAAAATATTCTATTTTCAAAATAAAAATAATTTGATGATAATTTGTTTGTTTGTTTACATTTTTCTGTCAAATGAGTTGACACAAGTAGAACTTACAACAACAAATTTCCATGTGGTTGTTGTATCGTTTTTTGTACAACAACACTTGCTGTTACCTTTTATTATTATACCATGCCACATGCTTGGCCCAAAAAATCTGGAGGTTATACGGATATATATGGTTTATTCCCGTACTGCAAGAATCTACTATTTGTTACTACGATAACACATTTTTCCTTTATGATATCGGAAAAAATAGTAAAAACTCGTAGATTCAGACCAATAATTGGTCTGTTCCCGTACTGCAAGAATGTACGAGTTTTTACTATTTTTTCCGATATCATATCATCATTGGTCTGTTCCCGTACTGCAAAAATCTACTCGATTTTACTATACTCTTCGATATCATAAAGATAGTATCGTTATCGTAGTAAAAGATAGTAGATTCTTTCTGTACGGGAACAGACCAATTATATTTTCGATTTTTTTCCTTTATAAATTGTGAAAGCTTTTTTGGCGGTCGTGACTGCAAAGAAGAGCTTGAGTCTAGTTTAGCGCCTGAAGTCCTGAAGGAGTTGTCGCGGAGGTGGATCTGTGTTATGGTTGGGATGGCACGACAGATAACATGCCATCAGTAACTGTCTAGTAAACAACACGTTATATTGCTTGACTGGCAGCATCCTGGACTCCTCATAGAGGTGATCGACGCTCGTCATTGGACAAAGCCGGTTGCAATTCAGAGTGCATTATGTTGTGTTGTTTGCAAGGATCTCCATTGCGGTGTCGCCAAGGAAAGAAGTTCAGACAGGGGCAGCATAATTAAGGATGGCACGATCTATAGCCTTATATGACGTTACCTAAATGGCTTTATCCTAGCCCCAAGAGGTGGCAGCCAGAGCTTTCATAACTTTATTCCTTGTTTTCATTATTATTCCTTCTGGTTGATGTAGTTGGAATGCGAGGAGAAATGAAGGAGGATTTTCGGATTATGGACGGTGGGGATGCGCCTACCTTCAACGGAAATGTCCAGACTTTGTAGTGGATAATTTTAGGTTGCGCTCCCGGAAGTAGTTGGCGATAGTTGGGTAAATAGTTGGATATTTTCGCTTTTACGTCGTCAATGTTAACACCGGATGGTATAATCGTACAGTCATCGGCGTACGACACCACTGAAACATCTGGTGGAGTAATGGGGAGTTTCGCAAGATACATGTTGAACAAAATGAGATATGGGACACCGGTACTCACATTTTGATCTTGCGATATTTGGATTTTTGGGCACTGAACTCAACGAATGCTTGCCGGTGGTTCACAAGCCAACGCTTGATACCACTCGGAAGTGTGGGATCTGTGATGTCGAATTTCAGTTCGGAATTAGCGGCCGTATCGACTAAGGCTATAACGTTCTTATCCGGGCCACTGTATGGCTGTATAAGGCCAGTTTGGCTGTATAAGGACCCAAGTTTGACATTTATGGAGTTTTTCAAAAAATTCGGGGTACAAAACCCATTTTTGTCAGTATCTTCAAAACGATTTGAGATAACTCCTTCCTATTACCACTCAATGGAAAGTTAGTTTTATATTAATCGGATCCGGGGATAACCAGGTAAACGTATCCGACCTTCCTGGTCTAATAACCGGGTAAGACCCCCCAAGAAAATAATATACCTCTTTAATTAGGGTAAAAATAACTACCTCTGGAAAAGCAAAATCAGAAAAATCTGATCGTTCAGGGAGAGACCATTAAAAAAAAATCTTAACACATGTGCACATATGCTCTGTTCCCGAACCTTCAACTAACCAGTTTTTTTAATTTTCCCTTTTTAAATATGAACAAGTTTTACTATTTTGAGAACGGGAACAGACCTGTAGCCATAACAGAAACGAAAACAAACAAATCGATTATTCAACATTCGATTACATCGATTGTTATCGTTTTAGACATTTCCGATCATTTGATCAGAGTCGATAATCGACTCAAGTATCGCTGCTGGCTTCTCTTCTTCTTTCTTTTTTAGCGTGTTGTCAGACGTACACGTGTTTTGCCGCTGACTGTTCGCAGAAAAATATTCAATTTTACACCGATTTTCAATTTATTTCCAACAAATTTCATCAAAATGACCGAAGTTACCGAACAACAACCCGAGAAAGTTGAAGAGGTTGCAAAGGAAACTCCTGCCGAAGAAACCACCGAAACACCGGCCGACAATGGCAGCACCGACGCCGCCACCTCTGCCACCGAGGGCAACACCACCGATTTGGAAAAGAAAATCATGAGACAAGTTGAATATTATTTTGGCGATGCCAATTTGAATCGTGACAAATTCCTGCAGGATCAAATTGCCAAGGACACAGACGGTTGGGTACCCATTTCTGTGTTGCTGACTTTCAAGCGTTTGGCTTCGTTGAGTTCGGATGCCAATGTTATTGCCGAAGCATGTGCCAAATCCGATGAGGGTTTGGTTGAGGTCAGTGAAGATAAGTCCAAGATTAGACGTCACCCGGAACGACCATTGCCCGAACACAATGAGGAGAGACGCAAGGACATTATGTCACGTACCGCCTATGCTAAAGGTTTTCCATTGGACTCGACAATGGATTTGTTGTTGGACTACTTTGCCGCCTACGAAAAGGTTGTACACATCAACATGCGCAAATATTTGGATAAGCCCACCAAGACATACAAGTTCAAGGGTAGTGTCTTTGTGACATTCGAAAAGAAGGAACAGGCTGAGGAGTTCATTGAAAAGGCCAATGTGAGTGTGGAAACTGTACTCCATCAAATCTGGTATTTAATTTTTATTTTCTCTTTCCCTTTAGCCCAAATACAAGGACACCCAATTGATTGTGAAATGGCAAGAAAAATACATTGAGGAAAAGCGCGAAGAACAAAAGGCTAAGACCAACAAAAAGAAGGAGAAAAAGGAAAAGGAGGAAGAAAACAAAATTAACCTGCCCAAGCGTTCAGTATTGTTCTTCGATGGTGCCAAAGATGATCTCTCACGTGAAACCATTAAGGAAGCCATACAAAAGGTGTCCAGTGATTGGGATATTGCCTATGTTGAATTCAATAAGGGTGATAAGTCCGGTCATGTTCGATTCCATGAAGAGGACTCTGCTGTTAAATTCCTGGAAAAGTTGGAAGATAAGAAAGTAGGTTGAGGATTATTTTATTAAGATATGGGTCTTTCTCACATTTATTTTTTATTTCTTTTTTATTATTTTTTAATTAACAATTATCGCATTTATTTCAGTTGAAAATCAACGATGATCTTACCCTCGAAGTTCGCACCCTCAGCGAAGAAGAAGAGACAGCCTTCCTCGAAAAGGCCGTTGAAAACATGAAAAATCGTCGCAATCATTTCAATCAAAAGAAAGGTGGTTTCAATCGTAAACGTCGTGGTGGTCACAATGATCGTAACGATGAAAAGAAAGCCAAGGCCAGCGATGAATAAATGTGTGGGCAAAGACAGGCAACACATGTCAGCGGCATCGGTCGTGATTATATTTATTTAACCCCCCAAATCAATTTTAGTTAGATCTACATACATATTTACTTTATATACAACACATACCTATATAGATTTATATATACATACAACAAACCAATTTATTACATTTAGTAATATAAATATTTAGTTTGTTTTTGATTTTTTACTTTCTCATCAGTAGTTCTACTTTTGAACTATGCAAAAAAACACACCTCTAAGTTATACATTTTTTAATATTGTATGAATATTTTTATTATTTCGTAATTCATACAATAGATTTTGTGGTTTATAAAATTGTATGAAATTATATCTTAACGAATGACTGTTTTAAGTTTACAACAACAATTTTTTTTTTGAAAACATTCAAAATTTAAAAAAAAAACGTATAAATACAAATAAAAATGTTTGCATATATTTTATAAGAATATGAGAAAAAAGAAAGAAAACAAATGACTTACAACAAATATAAAGAAACAAACAACTACTAAAATTAACGTTTTTTAATAAAAAAAATAATAATGTTAATTAGTGACAGGGGATAGCAGATGAAAATAGTGTTGTAGAAGGTTTCTGATAGTCTTTGAACATAACATTTTCAGTAATCCTCGTTTATATTGTCTTCAAAAAAATATTTCTAAAAAAATCAAAGCTTCCAATTATCTTTGAAAATTTTGGTATCGAACCTTATTCTAATTTTTGAACAAAAATTCAAAAAGCACACCTCCATCCCTAATCATAAATTTTAAATAAAAATAACAAAAAATACAAATTGAAATCAAACATATGATAATCTTTAAATAACTCACGATTCTAAAAAACATTTTATTAAGTCATTGATTGATTTTATGTTTATCCCTTAAATTTTTTTAATCAAGCTTCAGAAGGTTTTAAAAAAAAGTTAAAAAATCCACGCTTTATGTTTGGTCCTTAAAAATGAAATATTTTGAAAAAAAATATATTTTTTTACCTGAAGAAATGTAAAAGAATGCAAGTTCAGGAAGTCTAATGGTTAGTTCTTTTATTTTTTTGGTACTTAAAAACAATATTTAAAAAATCCTTACTTATGTTTAATTCTTAAATCTTCGCAAATATTTTTTTTTAAATCAAATCTTAAGTTTAGGCATCGAAAAAATAAAGACATATCTACGTTCGGCATTCCTGCAAAATTAATACGTCTATGTAGGATAACTTTAAGTGGCACAAGGTCAGCAGTTAAAGGCAGAAAGGACCAGTCGGAGCCTTTAATACCGAACTAGAATTCAGACAAGGTGACAGTTTTTCGTGTGACCTTTTTAACATCCTGCTGGAAAAGGTCATAGGAGAGACAAAAGTGAACAGAAATGACAATCTGTACACCAAACAACACATGTTACTCGCCTACGCCGATGATATCGATATAATGGGTTGAACATTGCGAGCGGTAACATCCACCTTTGAACAATTTGAGAAGGAGTCTGCCAAAGTGGGTCTGGCAGTAAACGACGAGAAGACCAAGCTGATGGTATCAGTAGGCTCGGACCAACTGTTGAACTCGAGAACTTCAGCTTCGAAGTAGTAAAAGATTTTATATACCTTGGTAGGTACCGCCATAAATAAAACGAATGACATCAGTTTAGAAATTCGGAGAAGGATTGTGATGGCCAACAGATGTTACTATGGTCTGAGCAAACAACTCAAAAGCAAGGCCACCTCCCGCCAGACCAAACTCATACTCTACAAGATGCTGATACTACCCGTGCTGTTATATGGATCTGAAGCATGGGTACTTGCGCAAGCAGATGATCCGGCTTTGGAGTGTTTGAGATAAAAATTCTCCGAAAGATCTATGGGCCGATCTGCACTGACGGTGAATATCGCCGTCGAATGAACCATGAGTTCCAGTTATTCTCGGACATCGACATTGTTAGACGTATTGAGCTGCAGCGACTACGTTGGCTAGGCCATGTTGTGAGAATGGATGAAGATGCCCCAGCCCAGAAGGCATATAAAAGCGAACCAGCTGATGGTTCACGCAGAAGGGGAAGGCCGCGAATAAAATGAAAAGATCAAGTGGAAGAAAACATTGCCGAATATGGTCTTTCAAATTGGAAAAACTGCGCAAAAGACCGACGCGCCTGGAAATCTTTTTTAAGCTCGGCTTATGGAATGAAAAATTCTTTCACAAGCCAGCTAAGTAAGTACGTATTTTAATACTTGAAAAAACATTTTTTTTAAATCGAATCTTAGGTTTAGTTTTCAAAAAATATTTTTTAAAGACATATTTTACATATTTTTTAAATCCATGCTTATTTTAGTTGTTTGCGTTTATGTTTAGTCCTTGAAAAACATTTTTTTGTTAAATCCGCTCCTATTTTAGTCCTTAATTTTTTTAAAGTCCTGCTTAGGAATACTCATGAAAAAGTTTATGAATTGTTTATTAAAAAACTTTATGAATAGTCCTTAATTTTTTTGAAAATCCACTATTTTATTTAGCCCTTCAAAAATATTTTTTAAATATACAGGATTACATATGTTTAATCCTTGAAAATGTATTAATTTAAAAGGCCACGCCTATGTTTAGTCCTTGGAAAAATATTTATATGAAAATGTTTTTTTTTTAATCCACGTTGTTTAGTATTTCAGAAAATTTGTTTAAAACATCCGCGCTTAAAAAATATTTTGTAAAAATCGTCGCTTATGTTTAGCCCTTCAAAAATATTATAGTTATTGATTTAAACCTTAATATATATATATATATATATATATTAAATTCACGCCTATGTTAGTCAAAAAAATTTTTTGTAAATCCACGCTTATTTATCACCAAAAATCTTTGAAACAATATTTTTAAAATTTTACGATGAGTATAGTCCCTGATATATATTTCAATATTCAACAATAAAAATAACATTGGTCCTCTGCTCATGGCATTTTAATAAAGTTAGCAGCTGAAATAAATATTTGAAAAGAAACCCACACATTTGATTTGTTTTAATTTTTCGGTTATAACCTTTTTTATTTTTATTATTATTTTTTTATTATTATTTTATTTTTAATTTTCAATGATTATTATATTGCTTCTTAATATATCTATATTTTTTGTTTTGTTTTTTTTTTTCAACTTATTATAATAAGTTTATGTATATATATAATTTTGTATTCAACAATTTTTCTCCTGTTTTTTAGGTTATATAACATTATTATTTTTTGTATGGTTTTAAGGTTATGTTTATCGTTATTTATATTATAATATTATTTAACTTTTTGTTAACTTACAATATTTTGTGTGTATGTGTGATTTTTGGATATTTATATAACATCAATTTCAAATACAATGTTTGTGGGGAGTTGATTTCTTTAATATTGAAATAAAGTTTGAAAACAAAAAATAAAATAAAAAAAAAAATATATTGAATAAATGCACAATTTAGAGAATAAAAAGCAACACATTACAAATAAATTTAGAAGTAATTTGTATATATATTTTCTAGGAACTCTCATTGAAAGCGAAAAAAATTAGGAATTTTGTAAAAAAGTGAGGTTATAAAATTAAGAATGATCCCATAAAAGCATAAACATTTATGTTGGATTCTGTAAACATTTTTTTGTTGAGTTTTTATGTGTACAGCGAATTTTCTGTTAGAAAAAAATTTCAAATTTGAATGAAAAATAAAAATTTTGGTTCATTGCACCGCCTAAAAATTATAGGCGTCGTTCCTTTTATGATCAAGCATAACAAGAATTTCATATAAAATTTCAAAGCGATCAGTGCGACATTTCCGCCCTCAAGTGGGGGTAATGGTAATACTAAACAATATCAGAACACGTAGACATCCTTAAATATTTACGTATAACTTCCACATCGGAAGTACATACAGCCACATAATTGATATCAAATTAAAGGTCCTCTATCCTCTTGGATATACAATAAACTTCTCGGGTCTATGTCCTTCATGTGTAAATATATGCGCCTCAGAATACAAATGTTGTAATTTTTCACACCAAAGTCTGGGTCCATTTGACCCGATCTTCATCAAAACAGTCATGCTTATTCTTTGGCAAAATTCCCTTTCTTGTGTAAAATTTCGTGGTCTTCGGGTCAGTATATCTCTTTAGTAAAACTGCTCATTTAAATTTTTCCAAAAATACGTGAAATTTCAGTCATTTTAATCTAATTTCAAAATAACATGAATTACTTAGATATTCAACTTTTAATAGTCTATATCTTTTGATAGACAAAAAAACTAAACTGATGTCAAAACATGAAACCAATAGAGTTATTTTAGTCCATGAATGATTCTGAATTGTATCGAAAAATCATTTTCATTATTTGCTGCTCATATTCAACTCGAAGGCTGTATTCTTCAATCGCATTTAATCAATCATGGTAATTTTGTTAAAAAATTATTAACTTCACTTTTTTCTACCAATTTTTCCTAAAATACTCAAATTCCCCACTAATAAGTTGATTTACTTTGTTCTGCCCTAATAACAGCTAAGTGATTTATACACCGAAAAACTACAAAACCTCCCCAAAAAATAATTTCCCCTTACTGTATCCCCCCATTAACAACACTGTTCAATCAATTTTTTTCCAATAAATCGTAAAATTTCAGTCATTCAAATCCAGTTAAAATAATTTTCAAAAATCATGATTTTCTTAGCAGCCCTTCTTTTATTTGTCCATGTCTATTGATACAGAGAAAAACTACACAATTTCCCCTAACCCATAGTGAAAATTTCATCTAAATATCTCCATTCGTTACAAAGTTATAGCCATTTCAATTTAACCTTGTGTCAAAATATTGCTGCTACACGATTCTGTTTGCCTAGTACCGCAAATGGAAAAATCGATGAAATTGCATCTTCACAAAAACCTTAAAAATTCACAGCCTGCTGTGTTGTTACCAGATCGCTTTCAAAGGGTTTTGGTTAATTTTATAAAATATGAGCATACTTTCAGGCGCGTGATTCCAATAGAAATCAATTT